GATTTCCAAGTCAACCCCTTTTATTTCAATAATAATTTAACAAAAGTAGTTTAGCTGACAATGTCTTCCTAAAGGATATAAAGAACCTAGCAGGTGACCTATTGTATGCATCCACAAATGCTATTGCGTTTTTACCAGGACTTCTTTTTTACACTTCATCCAAGCATCACATTCAAGGAAGAGAAGTAAACTAGCTTAGGGAATCACATTCAGTCAGTGAAAACCCTAGTTTGAACTGGGAATCTCCAGACCATAAGCCCTTTTACGTTAACCTCTGGACCACCTACCCTTCTTGATACAAAAATCACAGTAAATAAATAAACCTCCAGGGTGCCCAGCTAATTGAATAGTCGCTCTCAGCAGGTATCTGGTTTAAGAAGAGTTCCATCATTTTAAATGCCACTCAACTCAATCAATACATGAGCTCCCAATATAGGATTAAGGGCAAATGCAAAAATGAAGGAGTAATATGCAATTAAAGGGGCTTAGGGTGATTGTGGGGGAGTAACTTTACAGATTCTGGTAAGCTGTGGGGATTCCTGTAGGAGTGGTGTGTAATGACTATGTTTGGGTTGATTCCTTTATGTTATGCTATATCTATTTTTAATGTAAAGTTTATTTGTACTGTTTATATGTTTTCGAAGCCTCTGTCCGTGTAAAACATAGCTGTTTCGACTGTAAAATACATTTCTGAGAAATTAGGGAATAAAGTATTACCGTATTGTATAAATATCTTATATGGCCAGAGCAATCCCCTGATCTCAACCCTGAAAACTGGTGGAACCCTCATCACAGCCTTTTACTGAAGGCAATCCTGCAGAAGCAAAATGATTGGATTGGGCAGCAGATATTTCAAAACTTTGAGGAATACAGACCCTGTTCTGAATATACTTGAAGTGTGCCAGGGTTTACATTGTGTCTTTAACGGAAGCCTACATATGAGACACACATGTACAGCTGATTCGAAATGCAGATGAGCAGACACTGAAAGTGACCCTTTTTCCAAAGATTGCTGCTTGCATTCAAAGAGTGATATAAATTGAAATGCAGTACCATTCTCACTTTTTAAAAAGAAGTGCTGTAAGATTTCCTATTGATTTCAACACATTCGGTCTGCCTTTGATACATTGGCTGAATTTAATCTAAGTAAAGTAGACTGATTTAATATTTTTTTGTAGCAAATCACTGGCTAACATATAACAATTTTTGTCTTTTATCAATCCCCAAAATTCCCTAACTGACATTTTTTGAAAAGGCATTTGCAATCATATCTGAAAGTGTTCCTTTACTTTTGATGTCAGTACTTGAGTCCTTACACTGTTAAAAAAATCTTAATTCATCTAAACATGTCACTAAAATAGTTACAACGTAGCCACTGCACAATTCTGAAGGGAACAATTAAATAGAAAAGAATATCTCTTAGTCTTCAGATATCTTTATTTTCCTATAAATGTCTGCCATCAGGCCCATGGGATGACAGAAGCTTTTCTACCTGAAACACAGTTTGACACTTTTTTGTGCATTTCATTAGATTTCCAGAGATATCTATCATTGAAATTATGTAAATGTTATATCTTCTAGGAACAGAAACAAATTCTCTAGAATGCTTTCAAGGACACGTTCTTGTGTAAGATTCAGATATTCCAGGCTGCCGGCTCTGTGTGGGAAAGTAGCTCATTCATGAGGTGATACCCTGTGGTTTTGTTTCATTGAACCATGTTGAAGAAAAGATCTACAGAACAAAGCACTTTGCAATAATACAGAGATCGATCAGTGCTGTTTATAATGTAGACAACATCACTGTTCCTTATAAGCATATTCTCACTCTAACAGAGGCCACACCGTGTTTCACACAAGTTCATTGGTACCACGCTCAGAACTATCACCCAAGAAAGTTCATGTTAGCTGCTTAGGGATGCTCAAAAACATTTTTATCTAGCCCTGTCTCCTTCCTGTAGACTCTTTAATACACAAAAGTCTTGGATTTCTTTCACTTTTTTCTGTTGGCACAGAAATATACAGTGCTGTGTGGAAGTGTACAAGAAAAATAATTTTTAAAACAACACAAAACAATTTAAGAACCTTTCAGTGTTTGAGACAGCATCCACTCATCTTTACCTCTTCCACACAAAGAGGTACCTTTTGTCCTAAATGAATGAGTAGAACATGAAGGAGTAGAGTTGAGTAGAACATATTAACTGTTGGGTAGCAAGATGGCACAATTAGCTGCCTTGTAGTGCTGGGGCCCTGGGCTCAGTTCTGGATCTGGGTGCTAATCTGCGTTCACATGGTTTTCCTCTGGGTTTTTCTGTTTTTTTAATGTGCTCTGGGGAAAACTGGCCCTGGTGTGAGTATGAGCATCTATGTCTGTGTCTATAAACTGGCATCCTGTACAGGTTGTATTCTGCTTTGCGCCTGTTGCTAGCCAGGATAGGCTCCGTCTCCCCTGAAACCATGCATTTGATAGAGGTTGGAAAATAGATGGATAAATATTAACTACCACTTTCCTTTCCTGAATGAATGCATTTTCTATAAAGAACAATCACTGACAAACATGGAAACTATTTTTATCCTTGCTACTGTAAATGAGCAAATAACATCTTATTTTGAGGTGGGTACATTAGGACTACCCATCTTTAAAACTTCCTTTGCACAAAGTTCTTTAAAAAATGTATACAGAAAACTATAGCTTTTACCTAAATATTCTAATTCAGTGGTGTACAACTCCAACCCTCCATTCACTATGCTGCCTACCATCTTAACTGCATCTTAACTGTACTGCCATTGGAAGATTACCTTCCAATCTGACCAATTACTAAGCCCTTTCAGTTGCTATTTTATTAAAAATGTAAAAAAGGTTACAAAACAAGAGAAGGCAGGCATTCAGACCATCTTGTTTGGAAGTCTGTGGATAATTGATCTATGGATGAAATCCAGTCGTTTCTTGAAAGAAGCCAGGGTATTGGCTGGGTATCTTATTCCATATTCAAAATAGAACATCAGCAACTCCATTCTATATTCATAGCCTCCTGCATATACTGTACATACAGCACATACAGCCTAAAACCCCACTATACAGTACATAATATGGTCATAAGCACTGCATAGCCTAAAAATCTACTATACTGTACATATTACAGCCATAAGCACTTTTGCACATTCTTTGCAAATCATGAGAAAATATTCAGATCAAAAGTCTGTCATGAAATACAAACTGGTAAGAAAAGAAATTACTCATGTCAAGTACAAAATGTCATAACTACATTTTGTCAGAATGTTTCCCAAAATGTCCCCTGTTCTGTAATGAAGTGGAGAAATTCTTTTCTTCCTGCCTGAGTAAGTCCGTCGTATTAAATTGTGACCGCAACATCTGAAACATTCCACGACACCTGCCATTTTAATGTGTGGGGTATTGTTACAATGCCCTGTCAATTTTGCTTTTATTTCTCATAGGCGATATGAGCAGTGGTTTTGAGGCTGAAATGTGATTTCACACTTAAAGAGCACGTAGCAGTGTACACAAAAACGCAGGCTTATACTCTCCCACATGTTGTTGCAAGGCAACATCTCTATTAGTTCAGGTGGGTAGCTGCGTCAGCATGCGTAGGCTGCAAAGGAACAAGTAATAGGTTTATTCCATGCTGAAAAAAAGAAGAAAGAGAAACAACATTTCGGCTATGAAGCCAAAGGGCAAAGGCTCCACAGCCGAAACGTTGTGTTCTCTTTCTTCTTTTTTTCAGCATGGAATAAACCTATTACTTGTTCCTTTGCAACATCTCTATTATACTGTTTTCAGCATCGGAGCAACGCCAAAGCTTTCTGTTCTCTTTCCTGGTTTTCTGATCTGTTCAGACACAGAGGGCTGTTACAGCTGTGCTGCCTCCTTGCCTACATGAAAGGCAAACATCAACAAAAATGAGCAGTAGGTTTTTTGCATTAATCCTCTAAAGAGGGAGAAGGGAACACTTATTGGGGACATGGCACCCACCACATAAAAACGTTTGGAAAATAGTGTGAGAGAGACCCTAAAACATTCGACCCTGTTGTATTTTATTAATAAAACCGCTTCCATGTTGTTCAATATGTAAGAGACAGTACAGGTATGTTACTTCAGGGGATTATACAATGTGGGACTCCAAAAGAAGCATCTTTCAGAACTCTGCTTTTTGCTCATTTAAGGATTAAGCCTGTTTTAAAAGTGCAATAATCCACTTTTCGGCATGCACCACAACAAAAATGAAGTCAACTCGGGGTCACTATCGTTGTACAGGCAGCTGTACTGAAAAGCAAGTGCAAGGAGTGAATATGAAAAATTCTCCAGTGGTAAGGAATCAAATCCTAGGCAGAATCAGATTGCTCACTTGAACAAAGAGAATGAATGAGAATCACATAAGCATCATTTGCTCCATTTCGCAAGGCACTCTAGTGTGCTCAGTGCATATGGGACAGGTGAATAAAAGCCCAAACCCAGACCAGACATGTGATGTCATACATCTAAAATGAGGATCACACATTTCCTATTCAAAGACATCAAGGTAAGATTTCTTCAAACACAGAAACGAGCTACAAAAGGGGGGAAAGAATGCTTGGCAGTTGTGCATTTTCATGTTTTTCTAAAACACAGTAACATAACTGTTAGGTAACGGTTTTAAAATTACAGCACTAGAGTACGGTAATTCTTTTTTCTGTTTTTTATTAGACTTTTGTCTCTGGGTCAATGAGGAAAGCCATAGGGAAACTCCAGGTTCTATGCATGTACAAGAGGAGTAGGTATGAAGCAAAAGTAAAGGATAAACAAGGAACTGTAAAGAAGGTTAGAGGGAAAAGTTCCTTAAAGAGGCCCACCTGGAAAAAAAAACACAGTTGTCATCCATTCAAATGCTGCCAGGGAAAAGAATAACAAAGGCCAAGCTCATTACACAGGTTGACCCAGAAATGGCTAGTTTAAAACCCACCTCCCACACAGCCCCCTCCCACACCTCAGGAAAAGCATAACCTACCAGGTCTCGTCGTTTCTGAATTCCAGTTCTCCATACGCGTCTTCAAAATCCTCGCCTGCCCCCTTGGCCAGGCCCTCCACCGTGCGATAAGGCACTATGACGGTGCCGCGGGCCCCTGAGGTCCTTAGCACCTTCACCTCCATCACTCCCACACTCTCGCTCACATGTATAACCTCAGTTTCAAAGGTGAAGATGCCGGCATGGTCGTCATCCAGGATGGTTACGGTGGCAACCGCTGGCAGGCCCAGGATGGCCTTGGGGTAGGGAAGGCTGTTGGCAGAGAGAAGCTCTTCGGTCTCCAGGACCCGCACGTTGCTGAGCCGCACGAAGAAGTGTTCATCTTCCTCAAAGATGTCATCATCGATGATGCCAACGCTGATCTCCTTCTGTGTCTCGCCGGCCTTGAAAACCGCTGTCCCCTCAGTGAACTCGTAGTCAGCCCCAGCATTGGCAGAGCCATCTTCCGTCTTGTAATCCACATACAAAGTCTTGGTGATGTCCCCACCCTTACGCACAATGGTCAATATGACTGCCCCACAGTTCTCCAGACACTGATAGGCACATGGGTCAAAGTAGATTTTGGAGACAAACTCCTCAGTTTCCTCGATGCGTACCTCCTGCACACTGGCACTCTTCTTGGCCTGCTCAGCTGCATGTTTCTTCAGGATGTTGCCAGCTCCAGTCATCATGCGGGTGGCCTGGATGCGGTAGAAAGCTCTGCTCTTCTGCTGATGGGAGAGGGCGTAGTAGTTGGCCATCTCCACCAGCTGATCCAGCTCCTTGTCGGGGTGCTTCTGCTTCAGGTCTTTGAGGATGCGGATCATATCTCGCCGAGACTCATCCACTTCTTTCCCATCCATCAGGCCAATTAGATTGCTTGCTCCTCCGTCCACAAAGTGGGAGTTCACCATCTTTCCGTCCATCTCGATCCCCTTTGGCCGCTCAGCTTCAGTTTCAATGATGACACCCCGGTGCTTGTCCGAGCGGTACTTCTTGCGCATTAATTTATAGAAGAGCAGGCGTCGGTCAGCCACCCATGCCAGTATCACGCAGACAGGGAAGAAGGCCAGTGTGAGAAGACCCTCCCAGATCTGTACTACGTTGGGCGAAAAGACTGCTAGGATCATATAAAGCCAGATGTAGGCAAAGATGCTCCAGGCAGCTGTCACAAAGAAGACTCGCAAGTGTTTGATCTTGCGTGTCTCGCCGTCAGGAATGACAGAGACGCAGATGGCGATGATGATGAACATGTTGAAGGCCGCACTCCCTACAATGGTGGAGGGCCCTAGCTCTCCCGCTTTGAAGCCATGGCCGCAAACCTCAATCACCGACAGCAAAATCTCCGGGGCTGAAGATCCCAGAGCCATAAGGGTGAGGTTGGAGACTGTCTCATTCCAGATGCGGATAGTGGTGGTGGTAGTCTCTCCGTTGGGCCTCTTAATGAGAATCTCTCTCTCCTGAGACGTGATAACCTCGATGGCCGCCATGAAACGATCAGCAATGATGGACACGCCCAAGAACATGTAGATCAAGGCCACAAAGTACACAATAACCCGAGCTATCTTGTCCCCCAGGGAGGGGTCCTCTGGGTACCAAATGGGCAGGATTATGCCCTCTTTGCACTCGAAGACACCTCCGCACGTTGCATTTTGGACGGAAGTGCTCGGACTTTCCGTGGCCTTCGCCTCGACACATAGGAACGCTGTTGCTGCAGCTGTGAGGCCCAACCAGAGGAAGGAGGATGTCCCCGGCTTCACCAGGCTTGCGCGCGCCATGCACATCCCTTGGTCAAAAGAGTCCTTGTCTCTCTGCAGGGCTCTCGGGACTCCAGAACTGAACCCTCTTTGACACGCAGCTCTCCCCTCCTACAAAGTCAAAACACAAACACCTTCTTAGTGGCAGCATCTCCCATGCTTGTGACGCTATGTCATGAACATGTTTAAAGGTTAGACACCCTCAATATAGTATGAAAAAAGCATGATAGCACTGCTCAATGCACAATTTCCTCCTCATGGAAAATATGTTCTCATGTGCTAAAAACATATTTATTATTAGGCATCACATTTACAAGTATTCAAGATGCACCTGATCGCAAAAGTAAAAAAAGTACATCTAAAAAGAAAAAAATATTTAATGACAGGATGTTCTTCTTAACTTATGAACTCATTTCGCCGTATGAAGATCTAATTCCATATCAGCAGGTTCATAACAATCGGTTAAAACTTTTCCCCCCTATTAAAGGCAAAGAAGCCTTTATCTGAACACACAGTCAAGCCTTGGCAAAGGTCTTAAAAATAACCTAATAATAATTAACTAGTGATATAACACCTAAGAAATAGACATTCCTATGAGATCATATTCATTTCCAAACTGAATAATCAAAAAGTGAATTTGACATAGACTGTAATGTTCACATGTGCATGAAATAGCTGATACAAAGCACATAAATGTTCTAACCATCTCCTTAAATTTTTTAATTCATGATTATAAGGGTCAAAGTAACTTGTCTTAAAGTAATGTATTGGAAGTGTCACAAGCTGAATAGCTCCGCTTGGTGCAGTAGTTTGTGCAAGTGTACAGAGTGACATACTGAATATACCTTCTTAATGCATCACATCTGGAAACACAGACAGTGAGTTAAAGCAGAAGGAAAATGAGTAGAATTCCCCTTCAACTAAAGGTAATATAGAGCTATTTGATCATGAATTTATAAAAAGAGCACAGTGCACACTGCTCTTTGCTTAAGTCAATTTGCTAAGGTACAAGATGAGTAGGTCTCACATCTGTGCTAGTACCACAATTCCCATTCTGCACTATGGCTGGTTGTGTGGGTTGTTGTGACTGTGGAAATCTTTTTTTAACCGCACACAGTAAAACGTGCAATGTCTTAATTATAAAATACCATAAAGCCAAAATGAGCTGCCTAAGGAACAGAAGCACTTGCTTTCAGCAATCCCCATAGTGCTGGTTCTAATTTAAAGGTCCCTAAGCCAAGTGTGGGCTGTGACAGTCTTGTATAAGGTCCCCACGGCATCTAAGGCTCAATTAATATAATCTCTCTAATAATCCATTAGTTACATTATTCCTGAAGGTAGCCAACTGAGACACAGAACCCACGCTACAGTAGGAGCTGGCGTCTTTAACCTTGGTTGCAGCAGAAGTGAGGAAACATCACCAATTACAGCTAAATATTAAGCTGAATATAATCTTGAAGTGCTAAGTGCTTTTAGAAGAAAGCATCAGCACAAAAATGAAATCCCTGTATTTTTGGAAACTGCACTTGAAAGGACCACTTACAACCAAGACTGTGCATAGCAGTAAACTGTGCTTAACCCTGTGAAGGGGAATTGGTTAATAGGAACTCCCATGCAAGAAAGCTGGGCAATGGGAGACGTACTAGACGGGACAACACTCAATTCTGTGCTGGGTTTCCATCAAGTGTTTCTCAACAAAGTCCCAATTTTATTTGGATAAGTGGCACCAGCATAGTCAATCGACAATATTAACACTGAAATGTTGTAACCTCCTTCCATTTGTCATCAGAAACACTGAATTGGTTCAAGTAGGAAAATAAAAGGCAGACCTGGACCTGAAAGCTAATAAATGTCCACTACATCTTGTGCTGAGATAATTTCCTTTTGCTATTAAAGTAAATTCCTCATGATTGATGGCTAATGGCCTTGTACCCCCTCCCCACCCGAGGTCATCTTGACCATAATCCTTATCCTGCTTGTGAATAATTCCATTTATACTTCAACTGCATCTTGATCTTCCTGCTTTTAGATAGCTTTCCTTTTATCTGTTCGTAACACCTTTTACATTCACTCTCATCCCTCCTCTGTCTGTCTCCATCCTTTTAAGGCGTTTTAACCAAATGTTTAGGAGGAGGTCAAACCCTAACCTCGCCCACCTTCCAACTACCGCCGCATACAATTCAGTCCCTCGCATGCTTCATTTTTTATCCATTTATCCATCCAGTCTTCATTCCTGTAGCCGTTCCCTGGCTCACCCCTCAAAAACAGTGTAGCCTTGTCCTAACAGTCAGGTTGTCAATCTCTCAGACAGACAAGTTAAGAACATAAATCAACCTAATTAAAACTATGACCATCCTCCCTCCTAGTTATTATTTGGGTAATGCTTTTATCCTAAGTAACTGACATTGGTCCCCATTTATACAGTTATTTTGCTGGAGAAATCTCAGTGAAGTACCACAGATCAAGGGCACAGCAGCACCCTCCAGGATTTCAACCCACAAAATCACAGGTGAGAGCCTAGATCCCTTCCACTTCAAATTAGAACTTAACAGCCAAAACAGACTGATTCTAATTCCTTCTTTCTGACTTTTAATAACAACTCAACCTGCACATTAATCTGTTCCTTAGCCCACGATCTGGAAGATTTCAAAACCAAGGGATGGGTAAGACCACATTTAATATCTGTTATTACTACAAAATCAACACACAGACCAGGAAGGAGAAAATAATCACTCACTCCAAACATTTAGTTATTATATGCACGGTGGCAAGAGATCACAATGTTAATTTCAAAGCTGTTTTGAGAAGAGATTCTCAAAACAATTACAATCCAGCAGAGTCAAGCAACTGATGTCGGAAAGCAGACTGAACACAAGCCTGGCTTTCCCATTAAGCAAAGCAATCAACTCTGGCCAAGTTTGTAAGAGCAGGTCAAGTTTTGCAGAGGCAAGCCAGTAATTTGTTCCAGAGTTCAATGAAGACTTTGAGATTAGCAGCCTAGAAACTAATGAACGATTAGGCAGAACTAATAAAATTCATAGGTAAACCAGACCTAAACAGAAAGGATTTACCTTAAACAAGGCCAGTGTGCAGCTCAAAACTAACCCCCATGCCATCTATGAAACTAGACAAAGTCATATGACCAGAAAACACTCTGGTCTTCATTAGCCCAAGTTGGTTTTCAAAGAGAGGGAAAAAAAGACACAACGATGATATGTTTATTGTTTACTGATGAGCACACTATGAGTTATTCTACACCTTTGTTCCACAGAGCAGTTAGGAAAAATGGACCCGAAAGGCAGAGAACATACAAGACTCCATGTGGAAGGAATGCTAGTCTCTTTGTGAATGAACCAATGGTTAACAAACACACATCCAGATTGACGACTGAATTTTCAGTGGATAGTTGGTCACTGGAGTGGCCACTGCCACCACCAGAACTAGATCCCGTCTGGATGTTTTGGGAGGAATGTACAAGAATTTGTTCTGGCAGAATGGACGGCAGGAGCTTCCAAATGGCTCCACCATTAAGGCACTCTCTCCAACCACTCCTTAGGATCTGTGGTCTAGATGTTGTAGGCCAGGCCTGAATCATGTCACCCACAGACTGGGACTGAGACATACAATGCACAACTGGCTTGGTAATACCACTGCATATTGGGTGCCTGTGATGTGTCAAAAAATGATAAGCTCAATGGGTGGGTGACACGGAGGAGTCGGTCTGTATTTCTTCCTTCTTCATGGGGGGCCCAGAAGTTATCGTCATGAACCAAGATATAAAGACACAATTGGAGATTTCAAATTATGTAAATAAAAGCAAACTGGTATGATGGCATTGTATATACACCATTCACACAAGCAAAAAATATCATTCTCTACACTATTTTTAAGGACATGTGGATACATATTAAACCACTTTTCAGTTTAAATATAGTATTTACAGCATTTTAGACTCATTTTATTTTTTAAAAAAGAAAACACTCTTTTAACAATGGTAGGTTAAATAATTTTCAGAGCTACAATTTTTAAATAGAAATACAGTATGTCAGGGACATCTTTCAGGAACACGAAAAGTATATTCCATGCTGAAAAACAGAGATGTGAAACAACATTTTGGCTGCAGCACACATGCTGACAAAGCTCCCCACTCGAACTGCATTTTAAAAGATTTTTGAATTCCTCTCCCTTTGCAAACTGTCTAAATGTAGGCTGTAATAGTATGATTTTGACAGGAGTCAGAATGCCACATTTAAAGGGAGCCCCAGTTTCTCAGGCCGCTTATTGAATTTTGGTATAAAATAAAGAACGTTTTGAAAGTACTGTATATCGCCATATTGTCGCAAATGCCTGGTCAAGCCATGGGTGACAGTGAGAGTTTCCATGAACTGTGACATGAAGCAGCCCTTCCTGCTCACTAGTCATTGTAATGACTAATGTACTGCGTTGAACGAGTGAATAAGTACAGGTTGTGTAGCCAGCATTTCACCGCACAAATGTTCCAGCATGATCTACATGCAGAGTTAAACAAGTAGTATTTGTCGGCAAAGCTGTCTCAAATTTTTTACTTTTTTTTTTAGTTAAAGGAGATACATTCACAAGGCTGTTTCTTTACAATGTAATAAGGCTGTATCATGACACCGGAAGTTTTGTTGAATATGGCTCTGTGCATTCCTGGAAATTGTGATGCAAATTGGAGTTGTTACAAGTTACTTCGTACATTTACTTTTATTGTGGTTTGAAAAGCACTCATCAATTCTGATTCTTTCTAATCCAGAAACATAAAAACAGAGTTGCAGTTCCCCTTTAATGACAAAAGCCCACTCAATTGTAATCAGTATTAACAAACTACAGTGTATTAGCAACCAAAACCTTTACAGTTTGCACTGCTAGTCTGTGAAGTTACATGTAAGAGAGCGCAAATCTGTCATTTGTCCTGTTAGATGGCATCCTGAACCTGATACTTAACACTAGGGTTGGCCAAATCCAGCCTGGCTGTGGTTCCTGCCTCCAGGTTGTGTTCCAGCTGAGGTTAATCCTCCTGTGTTTCTATTCCAAAAATGTTTTTCATATCACAGTTTTGAAAAATTAAGATAAAATCAAACATATGCCTG